TTCTCTTTCAGAATTTCTTTTTGTTATGGAACAACCCTATTGATTTTTGTACATTTATTTTATATACTAATGTTTTACTAAGTTCAATATTTTAGCAGTTTCATGTGAGCAGTCTATGGGATTTTCTAAATATTATTAAAGTAATCTACAAACAGTGAAAATTTGTCTACTTTATAAACTCCCTATGTACCTTTCAAACTACAAAAGAACTTTTTTTTGCAAAATGTTTGTAAAACTCATGTTCATTTATATCTTTTGATGAGATGTTTTAGAAAATAAGCATTTGGAAAAAGAGTATTATGTAATATTGTGTTTCTTTAGTGCCCTAATTATCAACTCATTGAGTGTTTTATTCTTACCATTTTGAATAGTCTAATTTATGTGTGTCTGTTCTGTATGTGAAGGGGTCTTGTTGTGTATCCCTGGTTAGCCTAGAACTTATTATGTAGATCAGGCTGTCATCGACCTTGGGGTTAAACTCTTCCTTTAGCCCAGAAAAAGAGAATAGCAGAATGTGATCCTAACATAAACCCATACCCATTGGCTGAGCCTTTAGGAAATTATAAAGTAAGGGAGGAGGCATCAGACTCTTAGGTATTTAAAGATATAAGCCTTGAAATATAGTGAAGAATATATAATTTACCAATTCTACTGTGAATTTTTTTTTGATGTGACTTCTTTCAATAAGACAGAAAGCCTTTTATATAACATATATGCTTTTGGTATTTATCTTAGTTTAGTGTAATAGTATAAACACTTATGATAGCTTTATGAATATATGAACATTCAATATATCACATGTAAAATGCTTCTTCAGAATTTAAAAAGAAGCAATGAATTTCATGGTACCATTGCATGTAAGAATAAGTCCAATCTCCTACTAAAGAATAAATCAAAATAAGAACAATTCACAGGGAGTAGGAAAGCGTGCAGGGGTTGAATATTCTGTTTCATGAAATATTTTGGCTTCTTTTAAAGGTGTATCTGACAAGATCTAGGTGACCAGAGCATTTCACTTCTCACCAATTTGCTGGATCTTGTCCTCACTGAAAATCATCCACTTTTATTATTATCATTAAAACTGTGAGTTTAATTTGATTATTTTTGAGTATAAAGTTTGGATTCTATTTATTTCTTTACCATAACTGCAATTGCTAATGATGCCAAATTTCAGAGATTGCCTCTTATTGCTAAATGTGAAAAGATAAAAATTGAAAGAAATTCAGGTAGGCACCATAAATACAGTTGTAGTGTTTGAAGACATTATGGGCACTCCAAGTAGAATATTTTAAAATGATTGCAGGGTTCAAAATGATGTAAATACTGGACTTATGGATGAAATTATAAAAAATTAAAAATGTAAATTGAAAGATTTTAAAAAGTACTTTAGATAATTGAGGAGTTTCTTAAGGAAGAATGCCTAAAAAGTGGAGAAGAAATAAATTAGGAAGCAGTTTGGCTTAGTGGGTAAAAGTGCTTGCTGCCCAAGCCTGATGACGTCAGTTTGATTACTGGAAACCATTTTAAAAGATAAGAACTGACTCCTGAAAATTCTCCTCTGACATCCGCACAGCAGCATACACACAGCATATGCTCTCACACAATGTTAAACAAATAAATAGGAAAAGAAAGATCAGGGAAAGAACATAGAAAGAAATTATTGTGATAGAATATAGAATCATAACAATTACCTTTAGCAATAATGAAAATATATAAAGATTAAAAGTTGTAAATGAGGAGTGTATGGTTCCATGATCTTAGATTCAGCACTATGAAATGAAAACTATAATATGAAATCTCATTATGATCGCTGCCTTCAATAAAACAAAAATGTAAAGGGTTTATAATAGTCAAAAGCTATTCTTAATTTGCAGCACTTAAAAATATTTAAGGGTTACGTTAAAGGAAAAGATAAGACTGCAATAAAAATTCAACTCCATAAGAAAACCCTAAGCATATTTGAGTGATTAGTAGAGAGAAACTTATCAACACAGTTGGAGGCAGAAGATAGAGGTTCTCAGACTGGAGTCTGAATTCCACTCACCTGTGCAAAAATTCTACCTAGGGTAGTTCATGAGAGTTGGTCATGAAGAAATGAAAAGTCATATATAGTTCCCAAATTTCTACTGATATAGTTTCAGGCTACTTGCATTTTCTTTTCCTCACTATAATTTTTTTTTAGTTAAAAATAAATTAAATGTTCCAGGTAGGTGTGAGGTCTCATTAGTCTCTACCTTAACTATACATGCATTTTTACTGCCTTGATCTTGTGTGGATAGTCATAGCTGCCGTGAGCTCATGAATGTAATGACCCTGCCATGTCCACAAGACAATATTTGGTGATAGTCCTCTCTGATCTCTTCTTCTTTCAATTTTTCTGGTCGCGTGTTAGTGAATTTTACAGAGCCTTGCAGGGAGCAGGGATGATATAGATTTTCCCTTTGGGATGGAGAAATCCATAGTCACTTATTCTCCATACTTTGACTAGTTGTGAGCCTCTTTATTAACTGCCATTCATGTCATGGAAATTCATCAGCTTCCTTGACCAGGGATGACAGCTGCAAAAATCTCTGGTATTTAGAAGTCAGTTTGGTCCATTAACAAAACGTACTTAGAAGTCAGTTTTGTCCATTAATAAAATAACAGTAGTATAGTCTCTATGAGAGTTTACGATTTCCTCAGTTATGAGTTCTTGGCCTGGTTTATAGCAGCAAGAACGAATTCTTTCCTGATGAGCATAAATTAAATCTAATCAGAAATCATTTGTCTATGCCCATTAACATTAAAGGCATTATTTTAATAGTAGCACCAAGCTGGTCATTATTGTAGTTCACAGGTTTCACAGATATGTAAGACTGTTGAAGCTTTTTTCCCAAGCAGCCACAAGACATGTTCTGGAAGTATGAATGTTGATTGCTATTGGAGGAGGGAGAGTCAGTTTTCTTCAAGAGTATGGTCTTTCACATGTTGCCCATACTCCAGTGAATGGCCACACCCCCATTCACATATAGGCAGATCTAACTGGGCTCAGTGATTTATAAAGAAAATAATAAAAGGATGAAGAGTGTATAAAGATGGGAGTGGTCTTGCGAAGGTGTCTGATAGAAGTTTGTGGGGATGGAAGAGAGCGTGGGGTGGATATGATGAAAATATCCTGCACATCTGTATGAAATTCTCAAAGAACAGAAAAAACAAAAATTTTAAACAAACATAACAAAAAAATTTCCCAATTTATCTTTCTGTTATGAAGAAATTGCCAAACTGAGGTTATTCTAAGTGGATTTACATAAAAGAACTGGAAAAATATTGGTCATAGAATTAGGAGCCACTAAAAATACTTAAGCAGGGAAATGACAGGAAGGAAGATATAAGACAGAATAAGAGAAGTGAGGTTAGAGGAGAGCAGTGCCTTGAGAGCTTCATCATCTACTGACAGCTGTAAAGCATTCTGCAGTTTTCATCAACTTGACTAAAACAAGGCAATGCAAATGAAAACTGAGTATTAAATTCATAAGATACACTCTGAATTTGAACTTAACCATACATCTTTCTACTCTCTTACCCTCCCTGACTTCAATATATACAAATTTTAATTGTTCTTCTTTGTATAGATATTGTTTTAAAAGACTAGATTCAAAAGTTGACCACAAAGATTTGACACTTAATTCTCTCCTATACATATACACTCAATTTTGTTTTATTGTGTTTTTTATTTTTTTGAGATAGGGTCTCCCTATAGCCCCAGCTGGCCTGGAACTTGCTATACAGACCAGGCTGGCCTCAATTTCACAGAGATTCACCTGTCTCTACCTCACAAGTGCTGGGACTAAAGGTGTGCGTCACCACACCTGGTTAAACATACATAAACTTAAGAATATCTTTTACATTTCTCTCAGTTTAAAGCTCAAAGTCAGTAGAGTAACACAAATCTTTTAAAAATAATATTTTATTATTTTTATTTTATGTGTATGAGTATATTGCTTGCATGTATGCAAATGTACCAATGTTGTGCAGTGCTCTCGGAGGTCCAAATATGGCATTGGATTCCTGTAGAACTGGAGTTACAGATGGTTGTAAGCTTCTATGTCGGTGCTGGAAATTGAACCTGGGTCCTCCGCAATAGCAGACAGTGAACTTAATTGCTGAACCATCTCTCCAGCCCTTTAACGTATATCGTAAGTCATGAAAATTGTATTAGATTTGCCATCCAAAGAGGAATAAATGTAATTTATTTCCAGAATAGCATGTTTTATATGCATATTCACAAAATATCCAAATGAGAATATATATATAATTGTAGGTTTTTATATATTTTTTAAATAATAAGAAAAATACCTCATAAGAGTATTATGTTCTTCCCTTGATTCACACATTTATTTATTTTATTTTCTGAGCTTAAGACTGATAAAATGTTTGTAGTTCTGAAGAAGAATGTAAATACAGTTACATGCTTTTTGTAAATAATAAAATACTGATTTACGATGAAGTGGAGCATTACTTAATTTAATAGAATTTTCATGTTTTTTTTTCCTCCCAAAGAAAATCTAGAATGACTCCCCCTAAAGAAGAAAATGATCCAGTAGAAAATGCTCTCAGAAATTCTGAAACTGAAGATTCAAATGCCTGTACTGCCGAGAAAGAACTTTCACTTGCTGATACCAACACAAATTCTCAGATAGATAATAGTCTATCAATCAGAGATCTAAGTTCATCAAGCTCCCATGAGGATACAGATCCACAAGCAGCAAAAAATTGTAAACATGAAGAAGAGAAGACTCAAATTGATCCCCCACATGAAGAACTAATAGGAAACTCTCCTCCATTTCAAATACCTATACCTAGAAAATTGATAATTCCTAGGTTAAGATTGTTTAGAATTATCTATCTGAGTATCCCAATATTACAAATTGATGAAAAGAAGCCCTTGGCTGATAAAATAGTATTCTATCCAGGGAAAGTGGAGATGAAGATAAGTAATTACTGTCATAACACCATATATGCCAAAATGCTGCTTCAACGTTTACAGTCTAGGAGAGTTCCATTCTTTAACAATTATGAAATAAATAGAATGATTATCCAACTATTTTGTAGAAGACATTTTTCTCACCCTGCAGGTCCTCAAAATAACATGAGGGTAAAGCAAAAATATACAGCTGTTCTTCAGTCAAATGCTCCCATTAATGATGACGAAAGGAACCTGTTTGGAAGACCTTTGAGAGCGTACTACTACCATCCCCTCACTGAAAGAATGGCATTGGGAAACTCTTATAAATCAAATCAAAAGAAGGATGGTAACAACATTTTTGTGAGACCCATGCTCCACATTCTGCAGGCCAAAATACAGAATGTTGTCCACAGAAATACTTCTGAAAATTATTTGAAAACTCGCCATAAATTAAGGCTGGTGATAGTAACCTCCAATAAGAGCTGGAAATATTTCTGTGTCATTTGTGGGTGTGCTTTCGACAGTTTTAGTGATTTTAAACAGCATTCCTGCAGAATTATTGGAAACTAAATTAAAATATATTATGCCATCTTTTAAAATTTAAGTATTAAGATTTGGCAATGTTAAAACTCATCTGAAAGAAAAATCTTATGTTCAATAAACTTAGCACAATACATCGAGCAGCAACTTGAAATACAGATGAACTGAACATATACATACATTCATAAGTAACATTTTGGGAAGAGAAGAAAACTTTTTTATGTAAATTGTTGAAATATCTGATTGTTTGTATTGAGTCAACAATTGAACTGAGACCATGTTATTTCTTTCTTAATATTGTTTTCTGTACATAACATATTTTGACTGATACCAACTGAACAGGATCCTGGTAAAGAGAATTCAGAGAGCTAAGCGAAGTCTCATCCACTGTTTCTAGAGATTATGTTCAATGAAAAAAATATCATGTTCCCTATAAAATTCAATAAATCATTGTAAAGGCACTTCAAATTATATTGTAATTTTTATAGATATTTGTGAATATCTATCCCAAGAGAAATAAAGTAATGCAAACACACCATACTTATATAGTGATTATGATACACTATAGAAACCAAGTATAAAAATAGGACCATTTAGTAAAAGTGAAATGGGTTGTCATAGGAGTGAAAACATATGAAGCATTAAATTGCTAAAAGAAAAAAAATTCCTTGTATTGAAAGTCCCCTGCACTATAGCTCATAAACATCACCCAAATCTTATCATTCTTCTGTATATATGATAGTCTAAACGTCCCTTATATTCAAGGGACTCCCCTATCTTACTAATTATAGTTCAAATATCTATGCCTCTTCCTATCTTCTATCTGTAAATATAAAAGTATTAAATTTAGATGTTTCATTATAGTTCTAAATACATACCATGTGTAATATGTAATCTATACAGTAATATATTCCTACAGGACTACCGACTGTATAATATATATAAATATAAAACATACAGTATGTATAATACATCACACTACAATATATATAAAATTTTTACATTTATAACATATTGTATACTTTCCATCTAGTGAAAATAACAATTTTCAGAATCCATCCTTGTAGTTTTTATAAATATGAACACAGACTAATGTTACTGAATTTATACACACTAACAAGCATCAAAACAGATTTTCTTATGTAGACTAAATTTCAAATTATACTCTAATAAATAACTAAAATTTTAAATATTTTATTATTATTATGTTTTTGAGTATATTTCCTGCATGTTTAATTACATATTTTTATTTTGAGGATTATATCAGTTCAGTTATACAATATTTTCTATTTCTTTTTATTCAAACTTCCAAGCTATAATCTTTATCACTAGAGGTTCAATTAGGGCATGAATGAAGTCATACTAGGGCTCCAAAAGAGGAATAGAAAAATAATGGAAAGCCTCTTGGTACCTGAGAATGGGAGAGGTCTAACATCAAGAATTTGATACCAGATACTAGGTGTGGATAGAGAACCGTAGCAGGGCCTCACCAGAACTCTGAGGTCCATTACAGAAAATCAATCCTTCCTAGACCAGAATCTGAAAATAACATAGGCCTCTCCTGTCCCAGCATAGGAGGCAAAGCTTCTGCTGTGAAGAATGTATTCACTCAGAGATGTCTGAAACTGCTGCCCAATGTTAGGATGTCCTCCATGCTCTTCTCTGCCCAACCATCAGTCTACTGCCAGATAAATGGGAAACTGTGGTTCATGATAGGGGTCTGAAATTTAGGCTCATGTGAGGGGACCACAGCTCAGGATCACAGGAGGACCACAACTCTAGCTCATGGGTGGAAACCATAATACCAGGTCACAAGAGACGACTACTGTTGCAATTCCCAGGGCAGGACCACAGCTCCTTCTCACAGGGTTGGGGGTGGGTACCACAGCTCTAGCTCACAGGAAACAGCCACAGCTATAGTTTTCAAGAGGGCTTCATAACTCCAGGTTTACAAGAGGGGTTCACAGCTCCAGTTTCGGGGGTTGGGGGAGAACCACAGCTCCAACTTACAGGAAAGGACCACAAATTCAGCTTTGCAGAAGGGGACCACAGCTCCAGTTATATGAGGGGAGAGCAGCACTGGCTCACAGGAGGGAATCACAACTCCAACTGGTAGTAGGTGACCACTGCTCCAGGTTCACAGAAGCTCCACCTCACAAGAAGAGATCAGAGCTCCATTGAACAGGAGAGGAGTTATGGATTCACAGGAGGGAACCACAACTATAAGATCATGGAAAGGGCCTACAGCTCCAGCTTATAGGAAAGGATCCCAACTCTGGCTCATGGGAGGGGATCACAGGTCCAGCTCACAGCAGGAAACCACATTTCTACCACACAGGAGGGACCCTGGCCTCCAACTTTTAGGAGGAAACCACAACTTCACATTCATGCAAGGGGACCAAAGCTCCTGATTCATGGGAGGAGATCACAATACCATTTTCATGGGAGGAAACCACTGCGCTAGCTCACGGGAGGGCACTACACCTCACGCTCCAGGGATGGGTCCACAACTCTAGCTCACAGGAAGAGACCTCAGCTCTCACTTCACTGGAAAGAACCACAGTTATGAGTTCACTTCTGCAGCTCATGGGAGTGGACCACAACTCTGGTTCATGGGAGTAGTCCACAACTCTAGCTGACAGGAAAGGATCTCAGTTTAAAGTTCACTGGAGGGTACCACATCTTCTCTTTGAGCTCCATGTTGATGGGAGGGGACTACAGCTTCTATTTGACAGCAGGGAACTACAGCTCCATGTTAAAGGAAGGGGGACCACAGCTCCTGGTTGATGGGAGTGGACCACAGTTCCAGTTTACAGGAGGGGGCCACAGCTCTGGCTCATGGGAGGGGATCATTGTTCTGGTTCACAGGAGCCAACTTCAGCTCCAGGTTTACAGGAGAGCATCATGACTCCAGGTTTCCAGGACAGGCCCACAGATCCAGGTCTACTTAAAGGGACCACAACTCTAACTCATGTGAGGGAAGCACAGCTCCAGCTCACCCAATGGGACCACATCAATAGCTCACTGGGCGGGATCACAGTCCAGCTCATGGGGAAGATCTCTGTTCCATGTTCACTGGAGGGAACCACAGCTACAGGGGTTCATGGGTTAGGACCATAGTTTCATGTTCATGGGTAGAGACCACAGCTACAGCTGACAGAAAAGAACGACGATTCCAATTACATTAGATGGGAGCACAGCTCTGATTCTGAGGAAGTGGAACAGCAGCTCCAGTTCACAAGGGGTGTCTACCATTCCAGGTTCCTGAGCAGAAGGCCATAACTTCAAATCACTTGGGGGGACCACAACTTTGATATTCTGGAGCACACCACAACTCCAGTTCACTAGAATGGACAATAGCTGAAGTTTCACAGGAGATCCTGCAGCTCCAGCTCACTGGTATGGTCACTGCTTCAGGCTCCTGGGTGATGACTTCAGGTACAGGACTGAAGGAGGAGGCCAAAACCCCTATTTCATGGAAGGCAGTTACAGTTCTGGGCTCACAGAGAGGGGCCAAAGCTCTGGTTCATGAGAGATGACAAAACTCAAGTTCACAAGAAGAAACGCAGATTCAGTCTCTTGGGAGACAACTATAATTCCAGGTTCAAGGGAGACAACTACAGTTCCAGACTGATGCGAAGGACCATAGCTCCAGGCTAGTGAGAGACATCCATAGTTACAGACTCACAGGACAAGTTCATGGGAGGCAAACACAGTTCCATACGCCTGGGAGGGGTTCACTGTTTCAATTTCACGGGTTCCTATGTAATACTGTCAGAGTAATGTCACAGTTTTTTGGTCAAATCAGTTCTTTATTAGCTGATGGTTAGAGAGGGAGCTAAATGCTCCAAAGAACTCTAAACCGAAGGAGAAGCAGGGTTTATAAAGCTTAAAACCACAATTACATCCTGTAACCATAGTTACACCAGACCAGGGGCAGTTCAGTTAATAAAGAGGTTTTCAGTTAGCAAAAAGTTTAGGGTAAGAAAAAATAAGTTTCTCAGATTTTCAGAAACAATGAGCTCTATGGAGATGCAGGTACAGCTGAATGTGGGGATGTGCTATCAGGCACATGCTAAATGAACATGCTACCTCACTACTTGTAAGATTTCCAGTACTGTACAACAATGTAATCCCTGAAATTGCCTATATGAGATATCCTGCCTGGCTGGTTACATTGGGAATGGCTGGGCCAAAACACAGGGCAAAGCCAAAGTCAGCTAGAACAAAATACAGTTAGTTTAGCCACTTCATGTATTATTTTTATGTCTTCATTGCTCTGTCCAAACAATTTTACTCCTGTATAAGACAGAGCATTTGGCTTATGTACCCATGTTTTGCTGAGAACTCTCACCTCCACCATCGGCTGTTCAGCCATTTTCTTTTGTAGTTGCCAAGTTGATTCTTGCGTGTGCTCAGCTTGTCATATGGATGATAATGGCCAACCAACCATGGGCATTCAGTGCGGTGGCCACCTTCATACCCAGACCCTGGCAAGAGAGGTACAGTAGGGCATGGCAAAGATGGGTGGTTGCCATCTTTCCAGATCTGTGTTTTGCCAAGAACTGTCACCACCATTATCATTGCATTTTAGCCACTGTCTTAAATGCCAAGTTCTTTCTTGGCACTCTACCATGGATGTGTGTCACAGTGGCCACCTGCATGCCCACCCCTAGCACCACAGTGGGTGATCTCAACCATCTTCTGGCTATGCCTGACACCAGGCCCTTAGGCCAAGAGATAGGTGGCCAGGAGGCCCCAGATCAGATGTGCTGTGAATCCAACCACCCACAGGGCCGTTGGCCACAAATAATTTTTTTTAACTTTTACAAAAATTTTACTGAGAATTTCATACATGCATATAAGGTGTTTTGATCAAATCCTTTCCCAATCCCTTCACTCCAACATTTTCCTCTCTGAAGAGGTAACCCTAAAATCTTTTAAAGATTAGATACAAGCTCCCAAACACTTTTGACATTTTGACATTTTTGGCCTTTGGAACAGAATGTGTTGCTGACAGGCCCAAGTAT